ACTGATATCGCCCCCAGAAGCAACCTGTTTACCCTATGATCCAGCCGTCCTGTTACACCAGACATAGGAATAACAAACAAAAATGTCAATTTTTACTCAACCCCGCATTTTGAACTTGACTTTCATGACCTTCCAGTATTAATTTCTACAGATCAAATCTCCCCTCCCCATTCACTCATACCTGCATTAAATTCTTACAACCTAAACTGAATCAAATTTAAAAACATAATGCAAAACCAAATACTCTGTTTTAAAATACTATTCTCTCTAGCCGAAATTGAATAGGCAATAATGCAATTAAATAATTTAATAATTCCTTCCTTCCTTCAAAAAAATTCAAAAGCAGTTTTCATTTACATAGCTAAAGGATTCGACAGGGCACGACATGAAGGCTTAATTTTAAACTCATAACAATAGGCACCTCTTCATACATCTTCAAAATAATTAAAAGCTTCCGCACGAACAGAACTTTCTGAGTTACAATAGAAATTCAAAATTGTAACCCTCGCCCAATCAGAACTGGCCTACCTCTCTTTCTAGTACTTTATAACTTGTCCAGAGCCGATATGCCTGTATCAGGATTAATTAACATAGCTCAGTTTGCAGATGAATCTACGTGTCCTACTCATCTGTTAATTTTACAGCTAACGATATCCAATCTCATTTAATAATATAGAAACATGGGCAACGAAATGGAAAATCACAATCAACCTCTCATAATCTACAGCCGATCTCCCTTCCCTATCCCATTTAAAATGAACAACAATACAATTCCTTAGACTCATAACAATGCCGTTAAATACCTTGGCCTTCACATGGACACAATCCTCAACTGGAAAATACACATAGCTATCAAATTTCAACAAGCGGAAGCCAAAATAATACAGTTAAAATTACTAATAAATAATGTTAAACTTTCACTAAATAATGGCATCACCTTATATAATACCATTAAAAGACCCCTTCTGCTGCACGGCTGTCCTATTTGGAAAAATCTGGCTAAATATAATATCAACAAAATTCAGATAACAAATACCTAAGAACTATCATCCAAGCCCCTTGGTCCATTTTCAATAAACAATTACACCACGGACTAACGTAAAACCCATCGCACACCACATACCCTTTCTTGCCAATAATTTCTATTCTAACCTCATTAATCAAGATAGACACATTAACACAGGAAAATTTAATGAAAACCAAACTAGAATAAAAAAGGCAAGAGATTAAAACATATCCTATCCATTCTTTTCTGAACATTTTTGACAATATCAATGATTTTTAGAGGTGTTCGGTGAGTCCCCTCGTCAATTGTAGTTTAGATAAGATTTAGTTTATAATTAATTAGATTTAAGTCAACAACACAAATGAAGAGTTTCATGGAAACTTAACTTCGTAAATCAATCTCATTTTTAAAAAAATTTTAAAAACTATCACACAAGTTTTTGAGTCACGAGTATTTATAAATTGCTAAAAACTATCGTTTTTCCTCAGAATATGATACACTTATACAAAGGATTAGAAATTTCTCAAAACATGAGAATTTGTTACATATAACAAAGTTAAAACAATACAAGGGGCTACAAAAATGTATACAAATGTGCAAGAAACTCTAAAATAACTGCATAGAACTATTGCGGACATTTTCAAAGTGTGTTTAAATTCAAAGTGATTTAAAAGCGGGAAAATGGTAAAAACGGTTTTCATTTTTTAACTGCAGCCCAGCAGTCTAAAAATCTGAAATATATCCACAACAATTTGTTTTAAGAGAAAGTTTTCAGATTTTTTCGTGCGTATCCTAAGGTTTTAAGACACAGTACATTTTTTTTCAAAAATATTTCCTTGCGTTGTAATTTAGGGTTGAGAAATTATCAGAAAAGGTTTATCTGATCATATAAATTATTTTCTTATTGTTCATATTTTTTCAATTAGATAAAAGTGTTTAATTCACGAAAAAAATAACGTTTCACGTATACAACGTTTCAACGTCACAACGTCACAACGTTTCAAAAATAAAATTCACGTTTTTTGCTGCAGACCTTTTTACCACCTTATCTGGGGGTACCCTTTTTGAAACACTTTCAAGAACCCAAGTATTTTTAATGAAGAACCGGTCATTTAATTTTTCATCTTTTCGAAACGTGTTATTCAACTATGTTAGATATTCTGACAACATTATACGGTGGAAACCGTTACTTTTTCATGGTGAAGACCTAAATATATTATTACTTTTTCATATTCACTACTACTCTGGGTCAACAAGGAAGTACAGTTAATTAATAAAGTACTATCTTCTGAAATATATTCGTTGAAGTCCCTATATCCAAAAAATGAATCATCAATTAGCCAAGAATGTCAACTTTAGATATGTAATCATGTTTCAAAATATCATACGAAAGATCAAACACAAATATCTTGCTTGCGTACTTTATCTTATCACTGAAAACCTGAGTCTTCTTATGACAAGTTACGATCTAATATAGAAAAGATAAATCATCGAAGTCCGCGTATTATACTGCCGCCAGAAACTCCGCGTATTTTACTGCCTTACATAGCACTATGACGTAGACACCAAACACACTTATGATAACATAATAACAAATATTGACGTAAGTTAATTTGTGTTCTATGAAATAAATTAATAGTCTCTAAACGATTTACTACAATTGATATACTACACTTGTCAAGATTCCATACACAGACGACAATGTGAATTCAAATACTTCCCGTCAGACGATTTGTGAATTCTAATACTTCCCGTCAGAGGCGGACACTTCACCGAAGACATTCAGTCTTCATAGAATTTCCGACTCGGTAAATCGAATAAGGTGAGAGTTACTACGCTTTTTTGAAAACATCCCAGCCAACAGATCAACCTATGTGGGTCGGTATCCTTTTGACCTTTACGTTCTGAGATAAGATATATTAATTTATGACAGTTATATAACATGGATACACATGTATAGGAAAAAATAGTCACTATTTTTCTACGAATTTTGGTTTTTTACTCAGACCAAATTTTCTAAAAGTGGTATTAACCTAATAAACAATGTTCATTGCTTAATTGAAAGTGTAGCAAGGTGAAAAAATACTTATATAAATATCTTGATGTGAATGCGAAGATTAAATCTGAATACCTTCGTGTAATTTTGTGTAGATGCGCTCTCAAAACTCCTTCCCTCACACTTTTAATACGAGAAATTCATGCCACGCATTGAACGTTAAAAAAATGTTAAATGAATTTAAGAAACAATGTTCGAAATGTTAAATCACAGTTGTAGGACAAAAGATTACAACCTCTCAATGTGTATGACATTCTAATGCGATTATATCCGTAGACTGTGTAAATATTATTTAAATTTTGAATTTTCACAAGTTATTACGAAAGCGCTATTAATAATTTTGCAAGAAAATGTTCTCATGAACCATTTATAAGAACGAATTTAGTTCAGGTACTCCCTATTCTCAAACACAATTGATCTCCTGAGGAACTTTGGCTAGCAAAATTTTATAAATCACACCAATGCCAAAACCAGGCGAAACTGAAAAGAGGAAATTTCATGACCTAATTAGGTTACCAGGTAAGAATTCAATTCATTTTTCACGATTTTTCTTAAAAACTCAATTAAAGTAGATTGATTTATCAAGTTGTCTATGACTATTGCTTAGTGCAGGGTTGTCCAACTGTCAGCATGCGGGCCGCATGCAGCCCGCGGTGCCAATTATTGTGACCCGCGCAACGTTATTCGACAGAAGTGAAATATTCTCCGCATCCCTGAACATAGCGCATGCGCTCTGCCGGGGACAACACCCTCTTAAAGTAAATAGTCGATTGTTTAGATTTAAATATTTTTTTTCCAGTATGTACTACTTTGGCACAACAGCACTTTACGAGCCTACCAGCAGTGTCCCGGCCTTGCGGCCATGAGTTAAGGTAGTACACGGTCATCCCTACGTAGTATTTCTGGTATTCTCAACCAGAGAAATGAGATTTATCATCGTCACACAGCAACAGATACAGTGGCTTTGCACAGGAAAGCGCACAATTTTGTCTAGTAAATTCAGAAATTGGAAATTATCCCAATGTGTTTTGTTGCGTTATGCATGGTACGGTCTGATATCACGTATGGTTCCGTACCCCCCCTCCCACACCGTTTCAGAACAGCCGAGAAAATTGGCAAGATCAAAGTACGGACAAGTCAGCTCTAATGGAGTATGAAATAGAGTTATGAAAATATTGCCCAAGTTAGTGGATTACCTAATGCTTCTTAGCGTCAGCACATTTTAATTAATCATGATTCACAATGCAATAATGGATAAAATATAACCATTGAATAACACAACAAAGAAATTTGAATAAAACAACAATGTAATAAAGATGATATGTATATAAATCTACCAAAGACCTTGAAATACACTGTTTAGTTACTAAGACAAAAAAACAAACTAACGCCAAGCATGGCTGAGATTTTTACAGTAATAAGAGAAGGCTGCTTCACTGACGCATAAACAGAGAACTAATGAAAATTTATCTTACTGAACTAAGTGTTTTTTTTTAATCCATTCGTTTTAATTCACTTGGATAGACGGAGTGCACAATATATTTTCACTTACTAATAAATACGCATTTCAATAAATAAATTAATAACTTTCAAAGATTTGCACGAAATCACATCCAGACTGATAACATTAAACAATTTACACTAAACTTGATTTCTTGTGTGTGTGAGAGAGAGAGAGAAAACAATCACAATGCCGAGAGCTCGAGATGTTGAGTGAGGCGACGTTCGCTTGACGCCAGTACGCGACGTTCGCTTGCCCACGGCGCGGCAGAAGCGCGCGAACGTCAATCACCTCAGGTCTCTTCGCCGACGACGGACAAAGGACCGACGCGGGTACCTGCTGCGTCCGTCGTCGCCGGAGGTCGTCGAAGACCTGATGAAGTTGAACGTGTCCACTCATTCAGGGCTCTTCCGACGACGTGACAAAGACCGAAAGCGTTACCTGCTGCGTCCGCGTCGCCGGAGGCGCGCGAAGAGCCCTGATGATTGAACGTCACTCATCAGTCTCTTCGCCGCCGAACGGACAAAGGACCGACGCGGTATCCTGCTGCGTCCGTCGCGATCCGCGCAGGGTCGCGAAGAGCCCTGATGATGAACGTCAATCATCAGGTCTTGGGCCGACGGACAAAGGGACCGACCGGGGAGCGGCGTACGCTGCTCCGTCGTCGCCGGAGGGTCGCGGAGAGCCCTGACGATTGACGTTCGCGCGCTTCTGCCGCGGCGTGGGCTGGCAAGGAACGAGGCGCGCCGGCGCGCGGCGCGGGCGGGCGTCAGGGCAGGAAGTCGCGTCGGCGACGCCAGGGAGCGCGGGTGCCGCCGCGACGAGCGCATCCTGCCACGCGCTGCGACTGACGCCATGCGCGCGGCGCCTGCGTGTAGACGGCCGTACAGCGCCGCGGCCCCGCGCCGCCGCCGCCAGACCACCAGCGTCGCCCCAGCGTCACGTACAGCGGCGCCGCCGCCGCTCGTCGCGGCCCGCGGCGCGGGCGTCGCCGGCTCGGCCGGGCACGGCACGGGGCGGGGGCGGGGCCGCGGGGCGTGTGCCCTCCGGACGCCGCCGCGGCGCGCGCTCCCTGGATCCCGAGCCGGCTGGCGCGCCGTGGCGGTGACGGGAGGGAGCGGCGCAGCCGAAGACGACGTGGCCTCAGCGGTCGGGGAAGAAGTTGGCTCGGCGACCGACGAAGAAGCGGTTGTTGGCAGTTCATCACCAGCCCCGGGCAATGAGGCCGTCGACGTTTCGTCGGTGATCGAAGGCAAAGTTTCGTCAGTTGTTGAGGTGAGCGAGTTGATTGTCGATGAAGTATCGGTCGCCGTAGGAGCAGCACTGGTTATATTTTGTTCGCAGTCTTCCTCGCAGGCAGTTTCGTTCCGCGCAGATCCGACGCGCGAAGTGTCTGGGACAGTGTCAGGTGTGGTGGAGTTCACGGACGACCAAAGTTCGGTACCGTCCGTACACATTGCAGACACACACAGCGTGAACGAAGACGGACCACGTGCCAATTTCGCACAGGAGCAGTCATCTTCACTGGCTGTCACATTGATTTCCGTTAGGAAATTCAGAAGAGTTGGGTCATCTGAAGTAAGGTTGTTGCCGCGAAGATCCACCACGGGGTTTGCCAATCTGTCATCCTGAGAAATCCATGATTTTGTTGTAGAATACATACTAATCATACTGCATGATAATATTAAAGCATTAGCACACGCATATTAACAACACCGAACACAAACAACAGAAAATAGACACACCTAACAAAAAGTCCTATAATTTTTAATGACTATTCATAATTTTTCACAATAATTCAAATATGGCAATATGTTTGCTGCATTGTTAGAGCTAAATTAATTCGGATAACATAAAATTATAACTTTGAACAAATAATTGTACAAAACATTCATGTAGCAGCGTTTCTTTAAAGACAATTCTATCATTCTTGAATACATGACTAAAGAAACATAGGGAATTAACAATTAACAAGACATAGGGAACTATCATGTTTTTAACTAACAAAATTTGAAACATGTTTACCCGATGTTTTAAAGGCAACCTGCATAAATGAAATATGCCTACCTCTTCCGATCTCAGAAAATCCAAGGCTTCAACTGGAAACGCGTGTAACGCATTATTCGAAAAATTCAACATCTCCAGTTCTGTGCATTCATTCAGTCCATCTGGAATCTCCTCCAGTAGATTGTGAGAAAGGTCCAACCACTGAAGATTGCAGAGGTACGGCAAACTCTCCACACGCACGAGTTGATTGTGACTGACGTTCAGCTGCCGCAGTGAGTGTGCATTCTCAAGGTCCAACTTCGAAATGTGGTTCCACGACACATCCACTACCTCCACGTTGTGATGAAAACTGCTCGCATAGATTTCTCCAATCTTGTTGAAGGAAGCATTCAGTTCCTCTTCGTACCACTCTTCTAGACCGTCGATTGACTCCAAGAGATTGTTGGACACGTCGAGTGTAACAACACTCGAATTACACGTGTTGTGTTCGTCCGTGAGGTGGGTCAGCGACAGGGAAGAGCAGTTGAGCGAGGCGCCCTCGCCGCATATGCACCGCGAGGTAAAGTTCGCCTCGTCGCCGGGCGCAGAGGCGGGCGATGACGTGGGGTCCTGCGCCGCGACGGCCGCCAGACACAGCGCCGCCACCAGCGCCGCCGCCAGCGCCGCTCTGGCAGGCGGCTCCGTCGCAGTCGGCTGCAGCCGCCTCCGCAGCTGCCGGCTCCGCTGCATGGCTGGCGAGGATGCCGCGTCCGGTGCCGCGGCCCCGCTGCGCCGGGCGCGGCGCCTCGACGCCCGATAAGATACCGCGAGAATCTCCTCGCCCGCTGATAAGCAATTGACTGTGGTCGCTTCGCTGAGGGGACAGCGGCTACGAGTTTGATTTCACGCTCGATTGAAACGTGTTCTTGTAGTACGCCAATGGAAGGCTAGCGCTCTTCGACATTTTGTTTTACGGATAGTAATGGAGATAAAAATGGTTTTTCAAATTATTCAAAAACTAAAATAATATTATTTAAGTATTGCTTATAGTAATGAAGTGCCAACTTGCCACTCAAAATAAATAAAAACTGTCGCATGGTTTTATATATGATAGACTAAATATCCCCCTATCAAAAAATCTCAAAAGTAATAATGAATAACTATAAAAAGCATTAATACGAATATCTTCAATGATGAAATTACCCCTAAATTATTAAATTTTTGCAATATCTCTGTTTTAGCATTCTCTGCGATCATTTTTAATGTAACCGAATCAACTTGCAATCAATAAGGAACTATTGTAAACAGATGTTTTGCTAAATACATTCTTTTTCTGAATAGCATGATTTAAAAATACACTCCCATTAAGTCAATATCATTAGCTGTGTTGAAAGGTAAAGACGTTACATATTTCAGTTTCGTACGTTTTTTCTTGAAATAGGTACTCGTACTTTATATTCGCCTAACTATACAATGTTCTTATACTGAAATACTCGTATTTTATAACAAGATTTATAAAATTATTTAATATATTATCAGCTTATCTCTACAACGAAGGTCAATTAAAGAAAATTACTCCTAAAGAACTTCTGTAAGGTGCAAGATACTGTGAAGAAACTCAGAAGTAGCACAATAGTATTTATTATCTTTCACCGCAAACATAGACCTCATTCGAGAAGAGTTGATAATCAAACCAATTGCATGTGGCTGCCCTGGCTGTGTGTGACAGCCCTGTGGCACTATTTTGGGCCACTGTTTTGGTCAGTTCTGACATTGCGCTTGCACTGAACTGAGTTGTCCAGGAGAATACATGAGAATGTCAGTGTTGATTTTGATTTAATAATTTGAAGACTGAATATTAGACGATTACAATATAAAAATAATGAATTAAAAAAATATGTTTTTGAAATTATAATAAATTAAACGAAATTTCATGTTCGTAGACGAAATTACTTATTATCGTTTAAGATACATTTTTTAAAGTTTAGTTCTAGTGTTCACTTTTTGAATATAATTACGATAATAAGTAATGTGTTGGAAATGGATGCAAAAATTAGGATTCAAATGAAAAATCTCTCATTTTCGCTAATAATTCAAACACACATTTTAATTAGTGTCTCGCAATCCCACTAACATGTAACTTATATAACTAATTACCAATATATTGAACACTAAAACTTAGCGAAATTAAGTCTTTGGTTTTTGATCTCTCTGCGAGTTCTAAATTAACGCGTTGTGTCCATTAGTATAGGCAGTCCTAGGCTTCCACGACGTGACGTGTGAAGGCTATATTATCATATACTATTAGACAAGAATCAAGAATTTCTCACACCTGATGCGTTACTTCTGAACATTGCTAATAATACTGCATTAATAGCACAGACACACGAAATAAAAACATTGTCAGACCCAAATACTTGATAAAGTTTTCTTTATGTCTTTCGACACACAGAATCCGAATCTGAAGCCAGAATTTCGCCACCACCCTCCAATTTTGTTCAAACAGAAGAAAAAAACATCGTAATATTATATTTTTTGTTTTCGGGTGCTGTGGTCAGACCCAAAGATTTGACACATTTTTATCTGTGAAACCCGACGCGCTGAATCCAAGTCTGAAGCCAGAATTGCGCCCCTTATTTGTTTAATAAAGCATTTAAAGTCTAAAATTCATTAAAAAGCGCTGTAAAATCTCGAGAATTATGTCAATGCATATTGCTTAGCGATGCCACAGAAGATACGGGGAGCTGTGTGAAGAACACACACAGCCATGCCCATCACATGTGAAACTTTTATTCATCTCATCCACAACCTTACCGCTCGGCTGCTATCTACAATATTCTCTGAAAGATAGAAATGAAATCTTATATTGACACAAACGGACATTCTCCCAAGACAAGTTAAGTAAATTCAATTATCAATGGTTTGCGTCTCTGGGTGCGTTCATATATCTCATTTTCTAACATCTACCTACTTCGCATATATATGTGAGTCAAAATGTAAATGAAAATACTTGGTTCTGTATGCATTACAAGGTTATCTTTTTTCTATATACATATCTGCCATATTGAATCATTCAAGCAAATATTTATCAATTACAGGAATACGCTACGTCTCGTTGTTTATTATTGTTTATTTTTGAACTACATAATGCGGGATATGAAGACGGGAAACTCTTCGTGAGACATTGGTCTGTCAAGACTGTCAACTAGCTATAAATAATAATATACGATATCATATCTTAATTACCCAACTACTCAATAAATACATCTTAAACTAATTTTAAAGTTGTTCAGTTAAATGTACTTTTCCTTAAGTCACAAGAAATATTTGACTCCAACGACTCAACTATATAGTCTCCTTCGGCCATTTCCGACGAGGAATTTCACAAACCTCATGAACCGCAAACTTCAAAACGACGTCTTCTTACTAAATTCATCTCACAAAATTTACACTTCGCTAAAAAGTTGCTTTATGAGTGAAGATGCGGTTTAACGATGCTGATGAGAATGAGAGCTCGAGCAGTTGTTGATCTGGTCGCATTTGTTCTACTCTCCTATATGAAGTTCTGTTCCTTCTTGATGATTCAATTTCTGGAATGGCGTTAATGGTGGAGAGAAGAAACTGTACTAGACGATACAAGGGTCTCTAACACTTTTTTCAACACCCGAATTAAATAACACGATGCATAAATCATCATTTCGATATCTAGTGGGAGGGGAAATAGTCAACAGCAGACTCGCAATGCGCTTGCGTGCAATGGAGAATTTATTCAATGTTTTTAAAATGTGAAGTAATAACCGCGCAACTTTTCTTGACCGAGGACCTACCTTCCCCCTCCCTTGAGCAATAAACAGTTGAAGGCAAAAACTCCAAGTAAGCACTGATGACAACATTACAAACAGAAACTTCGTTGGCGCGAAACAGAAGCTAGTTGCTTTCAAATACGAGATCTGATCTTCGTGTTTTTCCTCGGTAATACCTAAAGAAATGACAATTTTGATTCTGTTACAACGGTACAAAATCTTAGCATTTCATCACTTCAATATAAGTTAAATTTTTTAGTAAATATCACTTCATTAATTATACAATTGCTATTTTGATATCGTAGAACGTATTGTCAGCGATAGTCCATCTTATGTTAAGTAACAGGAAAAGAATTTAAAAATAAACCAATAAGACGTAACAATAAACAAATTTTGTAAAAACTGCTTTTAAAATTTCAGAAATTATAGACAGCAATGAAGTTATTAAAAATTGATGAAGGCATTAAAATGTGTTAAGAATTAGTGTTTATAGATGTGGGTGAGACGTTTAAGAAAAAATATGTAAAGTGTTCAAAATTATGTAAAATATTCAGAAAAAAAGAAATTATATAAATTGAAATCCTGACTTAAAATTACTATGAAATATAATAAGTTTATGTATGGAGAAAAAAATGCAGAATTTGACCTCACATTGGGTCAGATTTTATTTCTGAAGTATAGTTCAATTAACTCTTGGGCCGTAGAAAGGTAATTATCTGGATTCACAAACCCTTTCTTCTGACAAAATAATGTTTTAGCAGAGGGCAATTGACAAAAAATTTTAATTGTTCACTCTCACAAAAGATATAGTAACCTAAATTTTTATTCTCCCTGCATCGTGCATCGTCCCGTGCATCGTGATAGTGCATGTTTGCATGCATACTTTAGCATTTGATAAAGCATGTAAATCCTGTTTCTAACGATAGTGTAGAGTTTGTAAACGCGAATGTGTAAGGAGACATCGTGTACGTAAAGGTCGTGTGAGGTCCGTGGCCAATTTCTCAAGGCCCTACTACGACATTCGCCTGATGCTGATCGAAGAAACTACAAAAAACCGCTGATCATACCAGCCGACTGCTATAGTTCTCTTCCAAACGGCGGCTGAAGTTTACCTACCTATGAAGCTAGTGTCGAAAATCCGCCACCATCGATACATGAACCCTAGGACCTCGCGATCACAGATGCTGCAGAGGCAACAGTCGTCGCCTTGAGCCAACTCAGCGAAGTGCATATTGTGCTACGCCCATTGTATTACTACAATATTCCTCCTCCCTTTCTCGAGACCCCGCACCGCGAGAGGGAGGGAGAGAGAGAGAGTGCAAAGAACTCTGGGAGCAGCCGCCTGCGGAGGACAGCGTGAGAAGAGACCGGCTAATGTACCGCTGCGCGCCCGCGGCCCCGACCGCTGTCGGAAGCAGAGGGGGCCCGAAGGCCGCCCTTCCGGGCCCGG